AAGATAGTTGCGGCTCCCGAGAAGGTTTCACATTCTTTAAAAAAGATAGTTGAGGTCCCCATGCAGGTTTCGGATTCTTAAAGGGCAGTAGTTCATTTTCAGGTGCGGTTTTCAGTTTATTTTGACGAGAAATCTATCATTTTAGAGAAATGTAGACCACCCAAAAATTAAAACAAAAAAATGGCGATGACGCTAAATAACATGAAAAAAGAAAGTCCTCCGGCCGACCTTAAATCTTCATGGTCTTCTGTGTCTTTGAAATCGCTAACATATTTAAGATACTTAAAATGTTTGTGGCTTTTATAATCTTTAAAATTTTAACATTTGTAGCATCTTTAGAACTTTCAGAATCTTTAGAATCTGTAGAATGGAATCCTTGGAATCCTGTGAATCTTCGGAACCCTTGAAACTGTCGGAATCCTTCAAAACCTTCGAATAGTAGTAATTAGTATCCTTTTAATAAATGGATTAAATAACATGAAAAAAGAAAGTCCTCCGGTCGACCTTAAATCTTCATGGTCTTCTGTGTCTTTGAAATCGCTAACATATTTAAGATACTTAAAATGTTTGTGGCTTTTATAATCTTTAAAATTTTAACATTTGTAGCATCTTTAGAACTTTCAGAATCTTTAGAATCTGTAGAATGGAATCCTTGGAATCCTGTGAATCTTCGGAACCCTTGAAACTGTCGGAATCCTTCAAAACCTTCGAATAGTAGTAATTAGTATCCTTTTAATCCATTTAATCTTTAAAAACCTTGGATTCTATAGAATTTTTGGGATTCTTGGAATATTTGGAATCCTTGCAATTCATTAAATCGTTGAAATTCATGGAATCCTTGCACTTCTTGGAATCCAATTCTTAGAGTTTTTTGAATGCTTCAAATCCTTAAAATTTTCAGAGTCTTCATAATATTGAGAATCTTTTGACTCCTTTCGATTCTGTAAATCTTTTGAATGCTTAGAATCTTTGAAATCATTGGAATCTCCGGAATCCTTAGAACAGTTAGGGTCCCCAAGAAGGTTTCAAGTTCTTAAAAAAAAAGAGTTGGAGCCCCCAAGAAGGTATCAAATTTTTAAAGAAACAGCTGGGGCTCCCGAGGTTTCATGTTTTTAAAAAAGACGGTTCTGTCTCTTGAGAAGGTTTCGCATTCTTAAAAAAATAACAGTTGGGGTGCCTGAGAAGCTTTCACATTCTTAAAGAAAATAGTTGGGACCCAAGAGGTTTTACGTCCTTAAAAAAGAAGACAGTTGGGGTCTTCGAGAAGGTTTCACATTCTTAAAGGAAACAGTTGGAGTCCCCGAGATGATTTCACCTTTAAAAAAAAAACAGTTGGACCCCACGAGAAGGTTTCATATTCTTAAAAAAATATATTTGGGGCTCCCGAGAAGGTTCCACATTCTTTAAAAAGATAGTTGGGGTCCCCATGAATGTTTCAGGTTCTTAAAGGGCAATAGTTAATTTCCGATGCAATTTTCAGTTTATTTTGACGCGAAATCATATCATTATAGAAAAATGTAGACGACCCAAAAATTAAAACAAAACAAAAAAATGGCGATGACGCAAAATAAAATGAAGAAAGAAAGTCCTCCGATCGACCTTAAATCTTCAGGGTCTTCTGTGTCTTCGGAATCGCTGACATATTTAAGATACTTAAAATGTTTGAGGCTTTTATATTCTTTAAACTTTTAACATTTATAGCATCTTTAGAATTTTCAGAATCTTTAGAATCTGTAGAATCTGTAGTATATTTGGAATCCTTGCAACCCCGTGAATCTTCGGAATCCTTGAAACTATCGGAATCCTTCGAATCCTTAGAATCCTTTGAATCAATTGAATCTTTAGATACCTTGGATTCTTTAGAATTTTTGAGATCCTTGCAATATTTTGAATCCTTGTACTTCTTGAAATCTAGTCCTTAGAATTCTAGGAGTTTTTTTAATGTTTCAAATCCTCAAAATTTGAAATTCTTGAAAATCCTTTGACTGTTTTCAATTCTATAAATATTTTGAATCCTTAGAATATTTAGAACTCTTGAACAGTTGGGGCCCCTGAGAAGGTTTTGCCGTCATAAAAAAGTAGTAAATTAAGTTGGACACCCCGGGAAAGTTTCATATTCATTAAAAAAACAGTTTCGGTGGCCAAGAAAATTTCACATTCTTAAAGAAAACCGTTGCAGCCTCCGAGAAGATTTCAACTTCTCAAAAAAAAGACAGTTGGGGCCCTCAAAAAAGGTTTCACATTGTTAAAAATAAAACAGTTGGGTCTCCTGACAAGGTTTCACATTGTTAAAAAACCAGTTGCGGCCCCCGAGAAAATTTCATATTCTAAAAAAAACACTTGGAGCCCCAGAGAAAAAGGGCTCTTATCCAGTGAACCACAATCGAGATATCTTACTCTAATGATAAACTGTTATTACAATGTGCAAATGTTTTTGCGAAAATTTGAACCATTAGCAAAAAAACTGAAAAAGGATTCGTACATACAAGTATATGAATATATTGTTGTATAACATTTAAATCATATAAACATAGAATTCTTTGAAATGATCTCATGAAATTGTTGGTGGGTTTAACCTTCTACATGATGTTTCTAATATACATACATAGATTCAAAATTTCATAATCGGTCCAGCGGTTTGGGAGAATACATGTCTAATAAAAAAGTGGATTCAAACGCCAGACAGACTGACAGACGGAAACAAGAGACTACTTTGTTCGTACTGTAGGGGTCATGAAACGTCAAGAAAACATAAAAGTGAGCATTCGTCCGATGGACTCGATTAGTGTACATCCTTAACTTACGCCCGGGAAGTAAAAAGACAGTTGGTACCCTAGAGAAGGTTTTACCTTCTTTAGAAAAAAAAGACAGTTGGAGCTCCCGAGAAGATTCTAACTTCTTTAAAAAAAGACAATTCAGACCCCAGAGAAGGTTTCACGTTCTTAAAAAAAAAAACAGTTGGAACCCCAGAGAAGGTTTCACATTCTTAAAAAAAAACGTGAGAGCCCCCGAGAAGGTTTCAGCTTATAAAAGACAGTTAGAAGCCCCGGGAATATTTCACATTTTAAAAAGACAGTTGTTGCCCCCAAGAAGATTTCTTCTTAAAAAAAAACAGTTGAACTGCACTTGTCTACAAATTGAAAACATTTTTGTGCTTCACAAAAACTTATGCCTAATTTTGATAGTGTTACGAACTCCAAGCCAGAGACTACTTGTTAAGACAAGACTTATTTTGGCAAATCACATACTTTCTAAAAAAATAGAGGGTGGGTGGGTGGGGCTAGTACTTGAAACGATAAGACTGAACAGTACTAAGAGTAGTAAGTGAAATGAAATGGGTGGAAGTGGGCGGGGCTATTGCCTGTTTATAAAAGACTCTATAGAAAAAAATTAAACTTATACCCGCCCACCCACCCGTTCCCTCATTTATTGTTCTTCTGAAATAAAAAAAAAAAAATTTAACAAATAATTACACGTCAAGTTTTTTGGTGAGATAGAAATTTCTATTGTTACAAACATTGTATCAAAACGTATTTTTACTCACCTATAGAGTAAAGACTGTTACAAAAGTACAAAAAACTTGAAAATTGTTTACGATGAATCAGACGACAGTAGCTAAATTTTCATGTTTTTTGATATCAATCAACACATTGTTTCTTCTTTAAAAAAAATCTGTTGAAAATTATCTCCACAGAAATTTCTTCGTCCTTGAAGTGTAGCCCGACAAACGCTGCTTGTTTGAAAAATTTCATAAAATATGTTTTTGCAAATTTCGTTTTGTTATAATATAAAGTAAAAACTAGTGGCGTAAAAAGTGTGGACAATATGAAATATACAGTCGCAGCCAAAAAATCTTGAACGTCAATTTCATTCCACTGTCACTAAGTGTGAAACACCTTTACGTCTTGTACCTACCCTTATTTTTTTAGTTTCTTTATTTTTTTTTGCATGCGACGCGACAAAACTTAAAGCGTCAAAGTAACAATAAAGCATAGACTACATCAAAATTTTCAAAATGAGAGAAAAAGATGTCCAAGATTTTCTGGCCTCGACTGTATTTAAAGCGGACAACTAACGGAAAAATGTAGACATTCTCAACTTCTCAGTACATACTTAACTTCGACTGTTTATGTTTATACTTTGAAAAAATTCGACTATTAGCACGTTCAAATTACAAGCACTAGCGTTTAAAAGGAAATGAAATTTGATTTTGTCTCCTTAGCATAGAACAGAGAGTTGATTAACCACACTCAGTTTTTTCCTCAAAACACTCATAAATTTGGAAAGCATTTATTCGGCAGAATTATACGATTTGCAGAGTTTCAGAGCATTCGAATTTGCAATTTCAAAGTTGATTTGTAAAAACTTGTTAAACAATTTTGAATTTAGGTTAAAAACTCGACAAGGATTCATAATGCAGGAGTACATAATTCAATACAATTTAAAACTTACACTATGTAAGTAAAAAAAGTCTGTAATAAATTTGTAATGATAACGCATTCAGTAAATTCTCAAAGCTCACATTCAATTTTGTGTTATAGTTTGCAACTATGCACTTCATTAGCACTAAATACCGTTAATTTGTTCAATGGTCCCAACGTCCAGCACGTTTCACACTCGATTGATCCGTCATCTAAACAGGGGAGACCGGAGCAATTACCCAAATGTCATAACTCCTTTCAACCGTGTTCGCCCATCAAGTTTCCAGATTATCAAGCAATCACGAGTAAATCGGTAGTAGTCTCACGTAGTATTAGTGTTCGAGATAATGTTATTGTTTAAAAATGTATAGTGTGTCCAGCGAAAATTGAGATATAATGACTTGTCATAAGGAAATTAATTCTTAACTGAGTATATTACGCCGAAGACAGAATTGCCAACCCCGCTTTTAAAACGACGGTCGATTCTAATTCCTTTTTTTATCTTTCATTTAAGTACTTCCCTTTGTGTCCGTGGTCAATAGAGGCCATAAATACTAAATTTGCGCTTCTCTTTTTCAGGCTGTGGACCCGGCCACGCTCTTCTGGGGAAAACCAGACGACCTCGTACAGCTTTCACATCACAGCAATTACTAGAGTTAGAAAAGCAATTTAGACAGAACAAATACCTCTCAAGACCCAAACGATTCGAAGTAGCGACAAGTTTGATGTTGACGGAGACTCAAGTAAGCAAACTAACTAGAATAGAAAAGTCCGGTCGCGAAGACAAGAATTCTATAAACTAAAGCCGTAGACGTGATAAATTCGCATCACATTTCCTGCAGTTAGTCATCACAATCCTAAAATATGACTTCTGTCTGTTTGTTTGAAGTTGGGCTTAACCCTGCCATAACTCTCGCGGGAAGAAAACAGTTTTGATTTTGTCTTATAGTTGGGGAGGGATCTAATCTTATCTAGTCGGTTTCGCCATTAAATAACAGTCTTTTTGTTTTTGCAGGTGAAAATCTGGTTCCAGAACCGCAGGATGAAGTGGAAACGGAGTAAAAAAGCGCAGCAGGAAGCGAAGTCGTCGTCTAAGGATAACGATTCACTTTCGAATAAGCAGGCGGTGACCTCGTCGCAGGGAAGCTGCAAGCCCACGTCTTCGCAGGAACCTTTGGAGAGTCAAACCGTCGACGATCCGAGCCGAAAAATCCAAGATGGTGAATCTCTGTACAGACCCTATGTTGTGTAAAGACGGAAAAGTGATAAGATTTGTTCGCGTTTTTTATTTAAACGCGTGTAGGTGCATTATGATTTTGTACTGTAAATATTTATTGAATAAAGTGTACTGTGAAACATGATCTCATTGATTCGATAAGTTTTTTTGTGATGCTACCTCATTGTGTTGGAAGTTTGAAATTAGAGAGAGTTGTACATATTTGAAGTTCCTAATTATAAATTACTATGTAAATGGAAAATGAGAAATAAAGTTTAAAACAGTAATTTTACAACGCTGTTTTATTTATAACGTTGCAGGAAAAAGCACACTTTTTAACACGTGAATGAATTTTTTCCCGTTTAACATTGCAATTTCTTGAGTAAACAATTTGGGATTGTGGTTATAAAAACCCTTAGTGACATATCGCATTAAATAAACATTCAGTGTTTATTCAAAGTTGTAACATTTTGAATGGTGTCCTTATTTGCAAATTTGTGAAAACTGTGAAATGTTAGAATGTAAACTTCATTCACGAAAAGTTAAAAATTCGTATCCTTGATAAGACTAAACAAACATTTTAGTCTCGATTTGTGTCACACTTCTTTTCTAGTAGCTGCTAATGTTTACTGAACAAATAAAGATCAGTAGTGTATGAATTTAAAACGTTATCAGTTTTTTTCAAATCTATCTATTAGCAACCACTTGCGTCAGTGTCTGGACAAAAAGAAAATATCGTGAAGCTTTTTCCTTAGCATTATATATATATATATATATATATATATATATATATATATATATATAGTTGTTATACCGCCTATACAGTCCCGACTCGATACATCTAGTAAACGTTACCAGACCTTTTGAGACGTTACCAGACCCGGGTTCGGGTCTGATAACGTTTAACCATGTATATCGCCTTCTTGGGCCCAGTACAATTAAAAATTGAAATAAAAAAGTGGGTCTGGTAAAACTGTTGAACGTCAAATTTTATACAGAAATAGTTCATTCCCCTTTTCTGCAGAGGGCGTCGTGTCGCTTAGCTGTATATAATATCTGCCTGCATAAAATCGTCTACATCGGACCAACGTTACCAGATCCGTAAATCTGCAACACTGCATTCTAGCAGATCAGTTCAGTATTTAAGAAAATCATGAGTACTTTTCTTATTCTACTTGTATCTGACTGCTTGCATTAAGTAAAAATATGTTATTTGAATTAATAAAGCATTTTTACAATGAATCGTTTGAGGAATGGCTAGTTTCATGTTTTCTCAATGTTACATAACTCTTATTAGACCTAGAATATGAAAAATTATGTCTTTCATTGTCATTTGTCCGCCGTTCTTGTTAGAGACAATTTCCAAAATTATATACTATACAGATTATTTTGAAATTATAGATACAGTTTAGGATTATCGTGAAGACGGGGGTAAAATGCTAATTAACTAAATACATAATTCAGCCTTATGTTTAATAAAAATAATAAAGATAAGGTTTTTTAGTTTAAATATACCATATGTTCGAAAAAAAATAGCCCGGGACCGTAGCTATCTTATTTTTTTGAATAGATCAAATTAAATCATTTTAAATGCATTGCGATCTTAATTGTAAAACTGATTTTTAACTTTCTTTTTTTTGCCTATGACATTCAACTTTTGTTTTTTAAATGACATCCTAGATATTTTTTTTAATTCTTGTGATCTTTTTTTTCTGAATACATTGATGTACCATGTTTCGCATTTTGTTAAAAAGTTGTGGTAAAAATTAATTTAATTTTTTTAGCAAGGTAACTGTGACGGAAAAATGTACCAAAATTTTTGTTACATAGCAAGTTTAATACGGTATAACATTTATTAATGTATAGGAGTTTTAAATTTGAAAATTAAACTTCTATACGAAAACATTATTAACTAAAGACATTTTACTGCAAATATGATGTATTAAATTATTAATGTTTGAAAATATTAACGTATTATGTACACTATGATACATCAATAAATTTAGAAAAAAATCTCTACATGAATCTTAAAAAAAATATTCAGAGTGTCTGGTGGCATTTAAAAAACAAAAGTTGTATGTCGTAGATAAAAACAAATGAAAGTTAAAAATTATTTTTTTTAAATCAGATCGTTGTATTTATATTTAGTAGACGATATATGCAAATTTTTTGAAAAATATATAAAAATTATACAACATTTGACAATTAATTTCAGAAATTAGAAAACGACTCCTCAAAATTTTGCATAATTATGCCTTAGTGCTCATTCACAATGGGCATAAAGCATAAGGTGTCATAAGCATTAATGCATATGAATTTATGTTTAGTGCTCTATTCGTTCACAATAAGCATAAGTGCTCATTCACAATAGGCATAAAGCATAAGGATGTCCTAAGCATTATGCTCATTGTAAACGAATAGAAGCATAATAGAGCACTAAACATAAATTCTTATGCATTAATCCTTATGACATCCTTATGCTTTATGCCCATTGTGAATGAGCATTTACAGTTATAATGAACGTGGTCAGGTCAAGTCACCAAAGCGTTTAACTGAATGTAATTTGAAAAGTGCAAAATTGTATATTTCTGTAAGTGTAGTATTTTTTTAATCCTCTCTTATTTTCAAATTCGCTATAATGATCTACGTATCCATATTTTACTTAATTTTTATTTGGATATAGGAACTTGATTATATTCTAAATTAATTGATTCTCACTTACTATTAATTGACAGAGATCATTCTTTTAGCTACATCTAATTTGTACATCTATTGGTAAATTTCGACAACAATCTTTTTAAAGCAACATTTAGTTTTTATTCCATTTTTTTTTAATGAATATATTTGTCGGCAAATGTTTTATTTATTTCTGTTCGTTAGAATTTCGCATTTAGTTAATTTTTTACTTACTGAGCGTAAGTAAAGGAAGTATTGTAATCAAGTCCATCGGCCGACTCTCTACTTCTACGTTTTCTCGACCTTTCATTACCCCTACAGGACGAAGAAATAGGCCTCCCATTTCCGTCTGTCCGTCTGTCTGCAGCCCCGGATTTTTATTAGGCAGATAATCTCCTAAAGTACGGGGCGATTGTTGTCAAATTTTGTATTTACGAGTATATTAGGAATATCATGTAGATGGTAAAACGCTAACCAAAATTTGTCTAATCGTCCTCACCAACAATGTGATGACGTCACTTTAAAATTGCACATAGTAAATGGGTTTTAAATTGTATGAAATAACATAGTCCTACACATGTAGTTTATGACTCCGTATTGAGTTTTATCCGAAAAGTGCAGAATTTTGGAAAAAAATCAAAATTATGAAACATCAAAATTTTGCGGTATAAATTTTATTCACATTTTTTTAATTTGCATAAACAGGATGACACAAAAAAAATATTGAATGCGTGATTTATTTTATTAATTTAATCAGGAACTGCAAAACCGAATGTTTTAAAATCATGGAGATGTTTAAGATTATCATAAACATGGTAAATCTTTGATCAGAATGTATTTGCTCATCCACCCTAAAAAACAATTGATGACATCACCTCAAAATTTTGCTAAATAAATCCTATCTTAAATATGCAAAATATGATGGCAGCTGTCTCAAAAAAATTAATGACTGAATTAGTATTTTCTTAAAATTCAAAAAATAACGCTTGGCAAACAGGTATCAAATTCCCGCAAGGGTGTCCAAAATGCGAGGATAGCAGTTTTTTGTTCCATAGCAACCTATCCTTTAATAATTTTTGGAATTATTTTCGCAATAATTTATCGGTTTGGCTAACCAGACGTATTTCGGAGATGAAATTTTGCATACAGTATTTATTTTTCATGTTTAATCAAGTGATGCAAATTAATTAAACTTAATTATTTAAAAATTAAATTAAGGCATGGAAAATTTACTTTTTCAAGATAATGATTATTCTCACCGGTTCATATTAATCCTCACCTATCAAAATATCTACATTTCAAATTTCATAACAATCCGTTCAAAAATACCTGAGTTATTGCGCCCGAAAGTGTTACGTGGGACACCCGGTATACTTAGATGACAGACAATCTAGAGAAAGATGAAAGTCTTAAAATGCGTCTCAGCAAGCATAAGGATTATTTTGCAGAATTCATATGGTTCAGACAAAATATGTACACGAAAACTAAAATGACCCATGGACTTCACATGCACTAATTTCATTGTGGCGTTTGCCACGCTAAGTATTATTAAGGGATCGAGATCCTTCGAGGGCCTGTAAATTTGCAAACGTTTTATGCATTGAGTTTTGACACTAAGATTACCGATAATTCATGAAATTATTTTTTTCTATTTAACAATATAGACAGAGACAAGCTTAAAATCGCAAAAAATTATAGAGAATTTTGTTGTGCTTCTAAAGCTGCCAGCTAGGCTTAAAAACATTTTTTGGTGATTCTGTCTCGAAATCATTCATTAATTACGGCTATTAATAAACGATTTATATATTAATGGGTTAATACAGCAATCAGATATAACCCCGCGCACTTGATGTGAAATTTTTTATTTAAATGTTATAAATATCATGAAATTGGGACTGATTTTTAGCAGTTTCGTGTATGAAATTGCAATCACCGGAGAAGTATTGCAACCAACTCGTTTGTTAATAGGCGATTATTAATCGCCCTTATTAACAAGTATTGATTAAATAATTGCTATGGAGCATTGTAACTCTTTTGAAGAGGGTCTTTTTATTACTAGTTTAGCGTTCTTAAATTTTTCAATTAATAATTTGAAATATTAAAGTTACGCTTAAAGAATATGCAATTTTAGTTCTCTAAATCAATTTTAAAGTTTCTAACACATATTGTACCATTTTGTGGTCAAAATTTCGATTTTTTTAGGATTTCAATATTAAAAAATCTTAATTTGTGATTTATGTTATGTGTAAGAAAAGCTTAGATATCATTTAAAAACTTTATGAAATAAACTAGAAAATTTTTGTTCTAACATTTTTTCTACAAATCTGTAAGCCTAAGGTCAAATAAAAATTGCATTAATAAATCGCAAGTGTAAAATTATGTTATTTTATAAATTTTCTTAAAATTTTAGGTGGAAATAGGTATCCAAATTTTGGTTGAACTAACTCGGTACACATGTACAACTAGTAA